ACACACCGTTCATATGGAGAGGTTCAATCTCAAGAAATTAAATGAAGTAGAGGGTAAAGAGCAGTATTGTGTTGAAATCTCAAATAGGTTCGCGGCTTTGGAAAACTTGGAAACTGAGGTGGTTTTTAATAAAGATTGGGAAACTATTAGAGAGAATATAAACATGTCTGCCAAGGAGAGTCTAGGTAATTATGAACCGAAGAAACATAAGCTATGGTTCGATGAAGGATGCTCAAAATTATTAGATCAAAGAGAGCAGGCCAAATTGCAATGGTTACAGGATCAAAGCGAGTTAAATGGGGATAATCTGAACAATATGCCGGTCACGGTACCCGAGTGGTATAAGGCATGCACTGTCTTCGCTCGCTCGGAAGCCGAGATCGTGGGTTCGAACCCCACTCAGGTCATGGATGTTTGTGTGCGTTTCTCTGTGTTTGTCTACAGGTAGAGGCCTTGCGACAAGCCGATCAATCGCCCAAGGAGTCCTACCGAATGTGTAAGATCTAGTAAACCATAGTGAAACGGAGAGTTTCATGGAGGTAGGCCTAGGCCAAAACTGGGGCTGTAGCGCCACAGAAAAAAAAAATCTGAACAATATAAGACGTGAAACCAGCAGGCATTTCAGGAAGAAAAAGGAGGAATATCTGAAAGACAAGATTGATGAGCTTGCAATAAACAGTAAGAACAAGAACATTAGAGACCTGTATAAAGGAATAAATGACTTTAAGAGGGGTTACCAGCCTAGCAGTAACTTAGTGAAGGATGAGCATGGTGATCTACTTGCAGATTCCCACAGCATTTTGAATAGGTGGAGCAACTACTTATCTCAGTTATTGAATGTACATAGGGTCAGTGATGTTGGGCAGACAAAAATCCATACAGCTGAGCTGTTACTACCTGATCTTAGGCCATTTGAGGTTGAAAGTGCTATTGCAAAATGGAAACGGTATAAACTGCCAGGTAGTGATCAAATTCCGACAGAACTTTTTCAAGCACGAGGCGAAATATTACGTTCTAAAATCTACAATCTAATTACTTCTATTTCGCATAAGGAAAAATTGCCTC